ATGACACATTCTATAGATGCAGGCTTTAAGAGCTCATGGATAAATACCTAAGAGTGAAATTTTGGGTCATAAAATGTGTGTCAAATGTTCTCAGAGTTCTGGTGGTGCAACATTTCAGCAACATTTAGTGGTGTAAATAGTCTTTTGTTCACAATTTTTTGAATCCACAATTTAGTGGACATAAACTAATAGTTTATTAGGGTTTAATTCACATTCTTTTGGTGATTAAGATATTGAGCTTTTTTTGTGAGCTCGTTGGGTATTTGTATATCTCTTATAAAGTGCTCATTTAAGAATTTTGTCTAGGGGCTGGGGATTTAGCTCAGCGGCATAAGCACCTGCCTTGCAAGCAGGTAGTCACAAGTTCAATTCCCGGTACCGATAAAAAAAGAAAAAGAAAAAAAAATTAAAAAAAAAAAGAATTTTGTCTATCTCTAAAAAACTATATTGTTTCCTTCCTTTGTTCGTTCCTTCCGTTTTCTTTACTTTCTTCTTTTATAATTAGTGCTTTTTGTGTCCCAAGAAATCTGCCTATCCTGAGTGCAGGAAGATGTTCTCCTACATACACTCTGGAAGATTTGTGTGATGGTGTGGCTGTGCTTCAAGGGCATTCTGCAAGGATTCACGCATTGGAAGCATGGTCTATAGTGTGACTAAGTGAGACTGGGGATCTTTAAGAGGTGGAGCTTAGTGGAAGGTGCTGAGGGCAAAGAGGCACAACCCCAGGAGGAATTAATACAGTTCTCACAGGACGCCCCCAGCAGTGACTTCCCCAGAGAGAGAACTTACAAAGTTCAAGCCTGACCTTTGAGTTGCTCTCTGGCCTTTGGTCTGTCTCATCACATTTCTACCATGATACCATCTGTCCATCACTCTGCCCTCATCGAAGGTCAAATGGATGAGGTCTCTCAATTTTAGACTTTCAGTTCCCAAAACTGTAAGATAAACTCTTTTCTTTTCTATAGCTATGGAAAATAGATTGATACTCTTTAATTTTAGCTTTTATATTTAGATCTATGATTCATCTCAATTTAAATTTTATATAATGTGAGGTACAAAATGAGGTCCTTTTTTTTTCTACATGTGTGCTACATGTTTTAGAATGACTTTGGACCAGGCATGGTGGTACACACCTACAAGTCAAGTACTTGGGAAGCTGAGGCAGGAGAACTGCCGTAAGTTTGAGGCCAGCCTGGACTACATAATAAGTTCAAGGCCAGCATGAACTACACAGCAAGATCTTATCTTAAAAATAAAAAATTTTCTTTCCTTACTGAATCATTTTGACATCGTTTTTAAAAATCATTTGCTCATATATGTGAGGTCTATCATTGTACTCATTAACTTCTTTGTCTGGTCTTTTATCAAAACTGTACTGCCTTGATTATAAGTGTTAAGAGTCAGGTCAAATATAATACTTTAACTTGAAATTCTCATCTTACAAGCTTCCGACATCTACCCATCCCCTAAAATTAAAGATACCATAAAATATCCATGATATTATTCTCATATTAAGTTGTCAATGTTGTGACTTTCCTGAAGTTCCTCCTGTGAATGTACTATGGATTAATACATACCGCTGAGGTCCTCCCACCCTATAATTTCAAACTTTTTCCAAACTTCTTTTTAGACAGATTTTCACTATGTATGTAGCTGCTGCTGGCCTTGAACTTGCTGTGTAGCTCACGCTGGCCTCAAATTCACAGTCCTCCTGCCTCATCCTTCTGAGTGCTGAGCTTACAGGCATGCACTAACACACTCTGCTTCCAAACTTTTTAAAAGAAAGAAATCCTTCTCTCTTGTGTGGTGTTTTGGATTTAGGAAGGGAATAAACTGAAAGGAAGAGAAATAGATGCAGAGGAGATATAAGAGCCCTTCTATACCATCGGTGGGAATGTAAACTAGTACAGCCATTATGGAAATTGGTATGGAGATTTCCTTACTGGGGATCAAACTCATGACCTCACTCACACTTTCCAGGCAGGCACTTGTGCCACTGAGCTAAATCCCCCGCCCTATAACATAATATCCCATGTTTGGATACACATGTCTTTTTTTTTTTGGTACTGGGAATCGAACTCAGAACCTCACTCGTGCCAGGCAGGTGCTTAGGCCACTGAGCTAAATCCTTGGCTGGAGATTTCTTAAAGAACTAAAATTAGAAATTCCACAGGGCCCAGTTATTGCTCTTCTAGGTATCTTCCCCAAAGAGCTTAAGATATCATACCAGAGTGACATGTACATACTAACGTTATAGCCAACAAATCATAATAGCTAAATCTTTTAAGCTGATATGCTTGTCAACTGACAATTGGATAAAGAATATATGGGGAAATATGTATACATATTCATCTATATATACAAATATTACTTGGCTATAATGAAAGACAAATTTGAGTCATTTGTAAGAAAATAGGATGCACCTGGAAAGCATAACAAGTGATAGTTTACGAATTTCATACCTTAGCTTTAGGTGTAAAATTTTGGACTCTGGAGCTATTGTATTCTTCTTCCACTCAGGAAGTTAGGGCAAGTTACTCAAATCCTGCAAATGTTACATTCCTCATTTATAAATGGGAATAAAGTATTAAACACCTCAAAAATATTCACACAACTCCAAGGAGGAAAAATAAAAACAAATAGGGGGGATTTACCGTACAGCTGTAGTAATCTTGGCACATACATGCACATTAAACACAAGTGACCCAACAGCAGGATCATACTGAGGCACCCCTGAAGTTCTGATATTCTCACCTGTGTTTAATGCAGGCTCCCCCTAGAGATGCCCCTGTTGCAGTGATCACCTCAATTAGGCAAAAGGCTCCACAACTCAGGAGCCTTGTCCACAAAGACTCTCAGAAAGAGAGGAAAGGAGTGGAATTGGTAAGGATCAGGTTGTTTCTGCAAGCCATTAGCGCTTGTGAATCTCCTTGGGCGGGTCCAGATGCTCCACTCAGATGAGCCTTGCTCTTCCCGGTCCTGCCCCGCCCCTGCCACCTCTGCTCTCACGCTGTGCTGCACCATGCTTCCTGAGTCCTTCTTTGATTCATTTTCTAATACTTTCTGCTATAAATTTTAGCTAGCCCTGCAGACATAGTGCAGTACTTTACCTGATAATTCTGAGGAGCATTCATGTGTTTGGTGAATGGTTGTGTTGGGTGCTGCAGTGATCTTTCTGGTTCAGGTAGCTTTGCAGGCCTCCTGTTGAAGGGAAGTGAGCCCTTTGATCACAACCGCCTCCCATTCTGAGTCACGTCCTCTGTATTGCTCCGCAGGGCATTTGTGCTGGATGGAAAGTCTCCTTTTGGAAAGATTCTAAGTACCAGATGGGCAATGGGGTGATAAGGATGGCAGGTGTTGGGGAATGCTGTGGCAGGGGCCTTTGCCTCTGGGATGCTGAGTTCAGTCTGCAGATACAGTTTGTTTGTCCTCCTCCCAGAGTTACCCCGAAGGGTTACCTCCTCCAGTCCTGGGGGGTTGCCTCCCCTATTCAAAGCTCTGTGGCTTCTCCCTCCAGAGCACCTCACTGTGCCTGAACCCCAGCTGAGGGAAGCAAGCATACAAAGCAGGAGGTGGCTGCTTCTCTTTCACACTTTGTGTGTAAGAATTTTGTCTTGAAAGCGAAGCTCATTGCTTGCCACAGACCAGCCAATCTGGGGCAGCGTGGGTGAAAAGAAGCCCAGAGAAGATTCCTCGAGGCTGACGAGGGCTGGCGGGGACCAGATAGGCATGGAAGAGCTCTGTTCTCAGGGTTTTATCTTGGTCTTACATCTGACCACTGCGATTTGAAGATTCTGGCAGGACCAGAGGACAGAGGACAGGACCAGCGCTGGTCCAGGGGCCTGTCAATCAGATGGAGGGGTTGCAGAACCACTCAGCGCTCTGTTCAAGTCTGCAAGTCCAAATTGCTAGCATACCTGAAGTTGTTCTGCTCCCAACTGGAGAACCAAGAAAACTTGTCTCTAGCTCCCTATCGTCTGCATAGCTAAATCTGGAGCCATCTTCCTATGGAAATGAGCCCTGACCCTCTCATTACTATTCCCCTGCTCTGCCAGCTCTCTCAGCTTGCCTGGCCTTTTCTTTTTTTGGTACTAGGGATTGAATTCAAGGCATTAAACTACATCCCCACCCCTTTTTTGAGGAAGTCTCCTGGTTGTTAAATTTCCCAGGCTGGATGGATTTGAACTCACAACCCTACTGCCTCCCTCTGCTGGAGTGCTGGGATTATAGGCATGTACCACCGTGTCCAGTTTCCTCCTCCCTCTCTCTATTCCTTCCTTCTTTCTAAGGATTGAATTTAGGGCCTCTCACCTGCTAGGCAAGTTCTCTACCACTTAGCTACAGCCTTAGGCCCAACTCTCTCCTCTTGCTAACACCAAGGCTTTTGTGCAACACCAGATGGCTGTTTTCCCCTAATCACAAGCTCAACTCCTAGGACTCAGTTGTGTCTTCCAGTTGAGGAATCCATTTTAGGACGTCACCGGAGCACACCAGACTTTGCTGGAGTTGGCACTGGGTGAAACTTCTGTGGTCTTGAGAATCCTTGGAACTTAAATGACCTTCTGGTGGGAGAAAGGAGTTCTTCCACAGGCGAGTGCACTTCTGGGTTTTACTACCTTACCATTCATGGATTCTGCTACTGTAACTACCTACGAATTCTATCGCTTATGGGTTCCACTACCTATGGGGCCCCCTGGCAGCCTTCTGGGTTACTAAGCTTCCTCTGCCTTGCTCCTTAAACTCCTTCCCACACCTTCCCCACCATATTCCTCTGATGTTTGATGAAAAGGAGATGCTTTTTCTCTATGGAGCTTTGGAAGCTGTGACTTATCTCAGAGGTACAAGATAGAATTTTCACACTGGAAATTGGGGAACATGGATTCTTCCTTTCCGCAGGATCACTTAGGCCCATTATTCATTCTTTCTATACTTCTCCACTGCCCAAACTCTCTCCACCTCCGAGAAGAGAAAGATTACTCACAAAGAAGAACCAAGCACAGAAATAGACAACCTATTTGTGGCTTAAATGCAGGCAGTTTTATTTTTACAGTGAGTTGCTGTATTTTTTCTAAGTATAAATAATTATCTACCACAAATGAAACTCCAGCTCCATCTGTGATAGTTCCTGTTTTGATAGTGGTGCCAATTAATCACAAAACAATGGGCACCTTCCTCCTCCCACGCCCTTCCGGGAGCTCCTGGCCAGCCCACCCAGCCAGTCGCCCAGCTTCCTGGTGCTTGTTACCCATTCACCTGACGGCGGCTGTCAATTTCCAAACCGGACATCATGTTGTTTTCTGGCAGCATAGACAGGCATCTCTACTCCGTTAGGAGCTGGGAAAAGCAAACCCGTGAGGCTGTCTGCTCTGTTGACTTAATAATGACGTTGGAGTCTTCCCTCTAGTTGGTCACTCTGTTCAGGGTTTCACGGCACCCATAGGGACAACTGTTCACCAAATCTGGACAGCCCCTGAGAAGAGCAGCAGCAAATGTGGACAGAGAGGCAGGGTGACTCCTTTTGTCCCGTCCGCTCTCCCTCATGCCTCCTTCTCTCCGGGCTTCTCCACCAGCCTGTCAGCTCTCTCCCTGCAGGGCTGGCTCCGGTGGGTCAGATCCTCCTCGCAGAGTGCTCCTTCCTTTCACCTGCAGTTGGCTTCAGACGGCTCCTGTTTTCTTCCCAGCCTCTGACTCTCCTCTAGGAAACATAGAGATCTCCAGGAGGCTGGCCTCCTCCTCCTTTGGGACATCACAACCAGGTAATGAGAATCCATCCCCGATGCTCGGGTGAGCTCACTTGCCCTTTAAATCCACCTGTTTGTTGGTGCCTACTGTCTGACCCCCACCTCCTGTTGCTGCGGGTTGAAGGTCTTCAGGGAAAGCCCCCTCCTTACCCTTTTTCCTCTTCATGGGAGGACAGAGCCACTCGCCAGCTTCCCTCAGAGCAGTGCTGCCTACAAAACTGTATGAGGAAAGCTTCATGCACGACACCTCAGCCTGCTTTCCCACAGGGTCTGAAACTGCCCACCCGTTCTGATCCAGTGTTCCCCAGGGGTCATCTACTTGGACCCCATCACTGGAAAGATCCCCCTGAAAAAGAGGGCCTGTGCCCATAACTGGAGGGTGCCTCTTTACTGCAGAGCTTGGCTTTTCGGCACCTAATTGATTCTGAAAATTCTTGTTCAATTTTGTATTAGATTCCTAGAAAAAAAAAGTGGTGGGGTGGGGGGAGGGAATCAGGGGAAACAGTAATTTGTTTTATGTCCTGAACTTCTTGGGTGAGAATCTGCATCTATAGAAATAGCTGTTCCCCAGATGGGCTGACGGACTCCTCCACTACCGGAACCTGCTCCTTTCCTTTCTCTCATCTTCATCACATCCTTAGGACCTTTAACACTAGGTTGGGCATAGTATTCTCTGCAGAAAAAATGCATACTTAACTATGTAAGCATGTGACTCCCACTTGGTGAGTCTAAACTACAATCTCATTTAATCATCAACCTTTTGGAGGTAATATTGTTAGTCCATTTTACAGTCGAGAAAACTGAGTCCCTAGTATATAACTTGGTAGAGGTCATATGATTCCATGTAGGCTGAGCTGAAGATTTGAGCAGCTCTGTCTGTTCTGTAGCATTTCTCTGCATTCACCGTCCTTTCCCAGACTGGCCCCAGTGGCTCAGGGTGGTTGGCTACCTTGTGCTGTCCCCTGCGTGTCCCCTCTGGCTCAGTGTACAGATTTTCTCATGAGTGTGTTACTGAATGATGCCATTTGAAACACAGCTCCTGCTGATAAGCGTGGGACCATCTGCTTGGCACATCTCAAATATTTTCAGCAGTGGGAGAGCAGCTCTGATTCTTTCAGAGGCTGAAGCTGCTGCGTCCTTGGAGATATTGGACCGGAGACCCTGCAGGCTGGTCGGGCATCGATGCCACAGGATGCAACAGGTGGCCTCCCTGTTGTCACCTCTGACCCTTCCTGAGCGAAGGACACTAGTGAGTCTGCACCCCAGTTTCCAATTATTCTGACGCCCTCGACAATCAGAGTCAGAACTTCAGGGAGCCGTAGCCCGAGCCGCTCTGTCTGTGGTGACTGCTTTTCACAGGGTGTTAGAGGTTTGCTCTCAGTGAGTGTTGGCAAAAACTTCTGTCTCCTCTTGCCTTTGTTTTGGAAAATTTGCTTCTCTACTGGGAGAACTGTTCCCAGACATTGTTTTTCAACTTCAGAGTTGAAACTTCTGTGGTAGCTTTTATTTTTGACTTATAACGGGGCAAGAATCTTAGGATCAATTCGTGGATGGGATGATAGACTGAGAGGTTTGCAAAGTTGCTTCATTAAATGTTGCAGAAGATAAAGAAGTTGGGGGCTGAAAGGATTGTGATTGTATTCGATTCCTTTAGAGAAATCATTTGTCTAGATGCCACTGGGCATGGTCAGAGGCAAGTTGTATTGATTTTCTTTGCCTCGCCTTAGTGGGTACCAGCATTAACATAACTTCGGTTGCTTGTGCAGCCTCACGCAGCCTAGAGGCACAAGGTGTCTGTTCAACAGCATCTCTGGCTCAGTCTCAGTCCGTGGTGTGAGTGTCTCAGCAATATTCTGCAGCTGGGGTGAGTGGGGTACGTTGGCAGGGGAGTGCCTTGGCTGTGGTGAACTTGGGTGTGTGCAGTCAGAGGAAGATGGCAAACGAGTCTGCCTTGGGACAGAGTGGCTCAGCCTCAGCATCCTTGACATTTGGGACTGGCCGATTCTCTGTTGTTGTGGATACCCTGTGTTTTGTGGAATGGTTAGCCATGCAGTGCTAATAGCATGCTCCTGTCAGTTGCAACAGCCTCAGACATCCCCAGACATGCCAAATGTCCCAAAGGGGAGAACATTCCCCCTTTGACTCTGGTGCTCTAAGCCCACCCTGCTGCATACTTAGAAAGGCAATGAGAAGTCTGCTTCTGTGTGCAGATGGCTCTGGTGTTAGGAAGATGGGAACGATGCGTTAAAGACCCGGGCAGGTGTTCCCGCCCCACACATTCCCGTCAGCTCTCCTCCTTGCCATGGAAATTCCATCTCACAAATGGGTTTCTGTTTGTCCACGTTACAACACACACACACACACACACACACACACACACACACACACACAGGAGAATTTCCCTTTCCTCCCAATCTATACACCGGAAAGGTCCAGCCAAGGACCGGGCTGTCTTAATGGTTGCTGGGAACAAGAAGAGCTTTCAGAGGCCCATCCTCAAGCCCTAGCTGTGTGGTTTTTTTTTTTTTTTTTTTTTTTTTTTAGCTTTTCTCTGTTTCCTTCTTCCTATCTATCTCTTCTCTCTTTTTCCTCTTCCTCCCCCTTCCTTCTTTCCCTTCTTCCTTCCTCTGTTTCCTTCCCTCCACCCTCCTTTCTCTCCTCTGTCTCCATCTCTCCATCTTCCTTCTCCCCTCCTCCCCTTCCTGTGTTTCTTTTTCTTTCATCTGGGCCTGGAGTCTGGGGCCATGGGAAGACTGTGCTCATGGGAACCAGACCGTGGCAGGGGATGTTTGCTTCTTGGGTCTCAGGAGAAAGCTTGAGCAAACACGAAGGCATGGCATTTCTCCCTGGGAAGAAAAAAAGAAGAGGCTGTGGCTGACAAATGGTGCCCTTTCTGATGCCCCTCGCCATTCCTATCAGCCACATTGCCCATCTGTTCCTTTGCTTCCATGGAGAGGTAAATGCACCAGCAAGCTCGGGTGCACCATGGGTGTGGGTCTGCCAGCCCACATCCTCCGACACCTATGGAAACCACCTCCCTTGTTTCCTGCCTGATGCCTCATTATCTTGGTGTGGCATTTCCATCACACTTGTACTGGCAAAGAGCTGTTCAATCTCTAGCCTTTCCACCCTGAGCTTTTCTTATACTCCAGCCTTCAAGAAGTACATTAAATTGTAATTATGTGAAGAAGCTGAAGCTCGGAGGGGTCGAGCTGCTGGGCTTCGGGCTCCCATTTGTGATCACTCTTTGGGAAAGTGTATTCCTAGGCCAGGCAGCCAAGGTGGTGGCCTCTGCATTGTAACTGGACAGTGTCAAGCCTCTCTCAGAACCTTCTTCTGCTCTCTTTACTGTGTCCACTGAGAGAGCAATGATTGTCCTCACATTCCAGAAAATATTGACGTCACTCTGCAGGGACACACAGTTATCTGAAGGGCCCCAGAGGGACCCCAAAGAAGGACTTTTGTCACACCAATGTAGAACAAGGACTTTCTGGAAAGAAAAAAGAAAAATCTCTGGTTGACAAATGGTGGTGAAATAGGAAAAGACAGGCTCTGTCTGCCGTTGTGCAGGGTGTGATTGAGGTGTCACACTGGGCTCTGTCACAAGGCAGTGTCTGTATGTGTTCATTTTCCCACCAAGGTTGTCATTCTGGAAAATGGGTTTTTTTGTTGAAATCTGAAACTTCCTGGGTGAAGAACACATCTTCGGGGTTTGGATGAGGTGACACGTTGCTTATCAGTATCTGAAGCCCAGGAAGATGAGTGAATTCCTGATGAAAATGACATTGTGTTTGTCTCATGTTCAGTTGCTTTGATTCAGGTTAAAATCAGGAGTGTCAGGGCTGGGAGTGCAGCCCAGTGGTAGAGTTTGCCTGGCACATATTTCCATTCCCAGAACTACAAAACACATGTGAAAACAAAACCCTTCCCAAAAAGCCACGTATCCAACAATGCACAGGATGTCAATTTTGGGACAGTATCTATCCCTGAATAAAGGAAAATTTTGCTGGCTGAGTAATAAGACCTCAGAGCTATCCAGCTATAGAAATAAGGTCTTGGATTATAAAACTAATTTGTGATATCTTAATGACATACCAAAAGGCCTTTATTGATTTGGAAAACATAGCTTTTCTCCTCAGATGTGATTCTGCCTACATTTATGTTGGTTTCTGTAGGTGGATGGTCGTTGAGTTCCATGATAGTCAGCTTGGCACGGCGTGGGGGTTGGAGGATGCTGGAGTCCAAGCAGATGAGCCAGCTCATCCCAGGGAAGGGCAGCGGAGGTGGTGACCAAGCAGCAGGTTCTCACCAGGCAAGGCAGGAAGGCACATCTGCATGGGAAGGGACAGGACCTGGTGCTGGATGTCAGGGTACCTGCTAGGTGATAACAGGTTCTGGGGCAGGCGTGGGGCAGCAGTGGACTAGCACGGAGTAGGATAGCCCACGTGTGTGTGAGAGGACAGAGAATGAGACAGCATCTTATGTCCTTAAGGACTTGGGTAAAAGCGCTCTGCTGTTGAATGACCTGGATCATGGTGTCTGTTATTTGTCCTGATGAAAGGACATGCCCGAATCTGCCCATTGACATCAATTATTGTTGCCTACAAAGTGAATTGTGGTGACCTTGATCTAGAGTGGCAGTGATTGTGAGTTATTCATTTCATGGAAGAAGGTTTCTTTTTCCTGTATTTCAGTTTATTATCAGTACATGTGCACAATACGTGATGTTTATATTTCTTGTGGGAAGTTAGTACATGTACATAATACATCTTAATTCAGAAGCAGGATTTCTGAAAACAACACATCTTCATTTGTTTTGTTGTTGTTATGTGTTTGGAATTGGGTAACTCCATCCTGTAATAAATAAGATCTATTCTTTGATAAATAAAAAAATCCATCCTTTGAGGTTTTTAATAAAGGTCCAATTGGTTATGACAGAATCTTCTGGTGACATTGTGATAATTAATCTTGATTGGATTGAGAGATCCTTAGAGACTAGTAAAGCCACGCCTGGG